GTTGTGTCCGCCGAGAACTAAAAAATAAAATATTAAAATTTCTCTCTCTCTCTCTCCCCTCTCTCACTCTCTCTTTAAAAAAAAAAAAAAAAAAAAGAATGTTCATCTAACTAATGGTGTCTCTTTAAAAAATTATTAAAATTACTTCACTGGAAAGAAAAATCACATTGCTAATATTAAAGATATTATCTTTTTAAAAAAGCACAGTGGTGTATATATGCAAAAGCAGGTGTATGTGTTGGTACATAATTTTTATAATTTTTATGAGGTTTATCTTTGAGATTATTTCTGTTGCCTTTATATGAGAGCTATAAACTCATCAGTGGAATAATTACAGTTTTCAGCATAAATCTAATAGCTGGGGGGAAGTATTTTCAGATTGCTGAAGGAAAAAACTGGACTTTAAATAATTAAGCCAAAATAATTGCATTAATTAACTTATATCTTTAATCACTAATTTCATTTTTCAATTTCCCTAGACTTTTGGGGAAAGAATAGTCTTTGTCTCAAAAGCAGGCTTTGGTGACCTACGGGTTAGAAAAGCAACCAGAGATAACGAGGCAAAGATATTTAAATGGCAACTTTCCAGTAATTATTAATTGAAAGTATGATTTTGGCTGAGGCTACTACCTTTCCCTTCTGCTGGGCTAGGATCTTGGTAAAGAAGAGTCTCAGCTGTGTCCCTTCCTTTATTATTTTTTTCATGAAAATACTAAGTAATTTTGAAATTTTTATAAATTTAAAAGATAGTAAAAATAAATATTCTAACAGTTCAAAACCTGCCATATTTCAATTGAAGGATTTTTTTCTAAGCTAAGTTGATGTGAAACAAGGAAGAAATTTCTATTGGTAAAGTTTGTTGGTTGTGGTAATAGAATTCTCAGAGAATATAAAATGAGGGTTATGGGTATAGCACATTATCATGGTGCGCAAACATGCATCTGTGCAACAAAATGATGGCAGCCAGGAATGCCTGTAATCCCAGCGGCTCAGGAGGCTGACAGGAGGATCCCAAGGTCAAAGCCAGCTTCAACAAAAGTGAGGCGCTAAGCAACTCAGTGAGACCCTGATTCTAAATAAAATACAAATAGGGCTGGGGATGTGGCTCACTGGTAGAGTGCTCCTAAATTCAATCCCCAGTACCCCACCCCACCCCCCCAAAAAAAACAAAGACAACCTGATTTTTTCAGGATAGGGAACAGGAAGATATGAATGGTGGGAACACAAGGTGAAGAGAATAATTCTATAAAATGGGCCCACTGTGCTGAACCCAAATGCTCTGTTTTCCAAGAAGTAATTTATCTGTAGCCCTGCCTGGCTTCAGTGGACAGGATGTGTCACATTCCTCAGCAAACTACCTGAAGAAAGGCAAGCCCAAAATACAGGTTGATAAGAGGAACCAAGTTACCCTGAAGGGGGTGACTTTTGTGACCCTTTTCACAGACCAGATTTCAAAACTCAGGGAGATAAGGCTAATTCTTTTTAACCATAAAATCTGCAAGAATTTATGGCTAAGAATCCAATTAAAACCTGTCAGCATGGGCCAAGGCAATGCAGAGTTGTCATGGCAGCAGAGGGGACTTGAAAGTCTGATGTCATCCAGCTGTCAGTCAAAAGTCAAGAGGTGGACCTGGGTAGGACTCCCTGGAAACTTCTCTGGGATCCCCAATAAAACTGAAGTACAGGAAAGACACATTGTCCCTCCCCTCTCTGAGAGGACCCACTCTTTTCCTTGAGAAAAAGGAACCCTAACCCTATCCCTTCAATAAACTCATGTCCATTACTCTGAGTGACATATCTGAAATCCTTCTGACTTGATCACAAGAATCAAGGTTGGGGGGGGGGCAGTTCTTTGTTTTGCCTCAGTTTCCTAGAAGGCCCCAACCCTGTAACAGTGGAAAGTCACACAAAATATCTGAGACACTTTAAAACTATGGGCGAAAAATTTACACAAAATATTTTAAAATATTGAGTAAATATAAAACACAAGTATGAAATGGTAGCCGAAATCTTCATTAATTTACCTATATGTATTTTTTTAATAATCAATAGTTATGAACTCTGGCCATCCTTTGACAAACAAATGTGGAAATCACACCATGTAAACTTTCTGATATAAAGTAACGTGAGCTGTAATTCTGTGTGCATTTCACAAATATCTTGAAATGCATTGAAATCACATTTACAAGTGCCTTAAAGCAATTAAATTAAAGGTAAAGACTTATCTGAGGCCCATCAATATTTTGGGCTTCTTTGTCATCCGTTTGGTTTAAGCTGAAATATCTGCGAAAAGGCAAACCATGTGAACAGTTTGCTTTGCCTGGTAGGTTAGTATTCTATACTTTTAGAAAAATATTAGGTCCCTTATTTTATATATTTAGCACCTAACAACTGATTATTAAAAGAAAATACCCCTTAAGAAAGAAAAATTGGAAGAAGGGTGAATTAGCAGAGGCTCAAAAGCAAAGTGAAAGAATGTTACCCTAAGAATTCAAATGTTGCAGAGAGCCCTAGGGTATCCACAGAAGGGAAAAAGGAAGTCTCCTCAGCAAGGGAATTAGAAAAGAATGTGTGTGGCTTGGGGGTGGGGACACTGTAGGATTGTAAAATAAAGAATATATAGTTAGGACTGAGGGTGTAACTCAGTTTTATATCACTTACCTAGCATGTGTAGGCACTGGGTTCTACCCCTGCATAGCAAGAACAAAACAAACAGAAAACAGATCATTGGTACCTTAGGAAAGATGATATCCAAATGGTCAAAAATATATGGGAAAAGAGTCATCTTTATTTGTCCTAAGGAAAATGCAAATTTAAAACACATTATAATATCACTCCCCATCTGGATATGATGGCTCATGCCTGTAATCTCAGAACTTTGGAAGGCTGAACTAAAAGGATTGCAAATTTGAGGCCAGCCTCAGCAATTTACATGACCCTGGTCTCAAAATAAAAAATTTAAAAGGGTTGGGGATATGACTCAGTGGAAAGCTTTCTCTACCTTAGATTGAATCCCTGAGTTCAATCCCTAGTACCAAAAATTTTTGAAAAGAAAAACTATCAAATGTGGGTGAAAATATGAAACAAAGAGAACTCTTTTATGGTGGTTATGAGAGTACAATTTGGCACAACCACTTTGGAAACTTGTTTGACATTATATACTAATGTTGAACCTATGCATTATTTAGGATCCAGGAATTCCACTCCTGGGAACCAACAGCAATGTATCCCTGTGCTACCATGCTCACCAAAAGGCAAAAAATTTATAACAGCACAACTTAAAATAGTCCCTAAATAGAAACTGCACAAATGTTCAATCATGGTATATCACACAACATAATACTATACAGCATCAAAAATGAGGATCTACAAACTAATATGCAACAACATAAATGAATCTCACAAATACATTGGGCAGCAGAAATTGCAGCGGTGCCCCCTTCTTCATAGAAAATCTTAACTAAGCTTCTCCAGAAATCTTCACTATAATTGATTTTAGGACTATCAGCAAGAGTCTCTACAAAAGAGTTCAATGTAGGTAAACTTCCTATTTTCCTGTTACTCTATTTTACTTGGTCAGTGGCCTGGAAGAAATCAGAACTCCAGGTGCTAAACACCCTTTTACTAGTTTTTCACAAACATTTATCCAGTATAGTAGTTTGTAAAAGTGTGTTTGCAAATGCAAAATGTGATAATACAAAAGACAAATCCTTTAACAAGTCCTCTGGCCTTGAGCTGGAACTTCACAGAGGTGCCTACATTTCTAAGATAAGTTACCAGTTGGGCTCCATGGTAACAGGGGCAGGGGGAGGAAAGAAAGGGGAGAAGAAGCTCTCCCCTTCTCAGGGGTTGTCCTTGAAGGCTTAACTTGCCCAGAACAGTTAAAGAAAAAGCTGCTTTATGTGAAATTCTGCAGACTGGGAACTTCTGAGTCCCTCCCCTTATATGCTGGGTATAAAGTTCTGAAACTACTTGAACTTCCAGTTCAGGGGATTAATTGATTACAGTGAAAACTGTGACCTCTGAACCTGGCTGCAGCCAAATAAACTGTTTTCTGCTATTTTCAGTGCCTTGCCTCTTCTGTCCCCTACAACAAAACTAGACATAAATGAGTATTTTGTATGATTCCATTTATTTAAATTAAAAAAAATTGTTAAAACTCATCTACGCTCTTAGAAGTAAAGAAAATGACTCTTGGTTGGGCTCTAGGGTCGTAATGGGGAGGCAGTGTGAAGGGATTTCTAGTTGCTAGTACTGTTCAGTGTCTCATTCCAGGTGTTAATTACACAGGTGCAATCAGGTTTTGAAAACTTATCGGGTTGGACACTTTTGATAAATGCCTTTCTTAGATATATGTTATATTTAAATATAATGTTAGAAAAATAAGGAGGAAATGACCAAGGTAACACTACTAGCAGGAAAATATAAAAATGGATTCATCACAGAGGCCCTACATGTCATGCTAGGGATCATATGCCCCTCAGATTCTGTGGTCACTTGGAGAGAAAGGGTCCTTTGGTTTTTCTTTTCTGGCAATTGGTGCTACCCTCTGAGAGGGCCAATAAGACACTACAGACTTCTGTGCAATTTGAATGCAATTCAAATTGAATTCCATTCTGGAACTTTGGAACTAAGGATAGAGAGGGAAGGGAGGGAGGCTAGAGGGAGAAAAAGGAGAAAGCATGATTTCCATACTTCCAGTGGAAGTTCTACTCAATGGATGTATTCCTTTTGTAAATCACACTTGTCACCCTAAAACCTAGAAGGCAGCCCTAACACACCACAGATGCTCTTCAATGGAGTGTGGGGATAATATTTTATTTCTGATTAGCATCATGATTCCAATACAGGGTTTGATGTGATAATATAAAGTGTCCAATTTAATAGAGGTATACACACATCATGTAAATTTATATGGAAGGGTTGGAAACTTACCTATATAATAAGACATTTAAAAAAAACAAAGAGAAAAAAGCAGAACAGATAAATTGAAACCATCAACATGAGCTAATGCTTTACGGCAAGGTTTCTCTACCTCAGAATTAATGACATTGGGAGCTGGTTCATTCTTTGCAGTGGTGGCTGTCTGCATGTCTGTAGCATGTTTAGCAGCATCACCAGCCTCTACCGGCTGGATGCTAGTAGCACTCCCCCTCCAGTCATGACCAGGAGAAATGTCCCTGGACATTGCCAAATGCCCCCTGGAGACCTGGAGACCCGGTTGAGAATCATGCCCTATGGAACACCTTGCTTTGTTTCTGTCCTTCCTGTAGGCAGTCATAGTCTGTCCTGAGTGAAGCCGTGACTTCAAAACCCAATGCAGCTCACTGTTTTCCAATCACTGGAGCCAGAGCTCCTTGGAAGATGTTGGAACTAGTCTTGGGGACAAGAAAAAGCATGACAGGCTGAACCCATTTTGATAACTCTCAGAAAACAAAAGCAGTTCCCGAGAATTCTGGATTTGGTTTTATTGGATTTTTAAAGAAGATGCCCACTGTTAAGGTTGGAAAAGCTAGAGGGATTTATGACAACAATGAATAGTAATGATAGTGGTGACGTTGATTAGAAGGAACCCATTTTTCGGACTGTGCTTAGAAAGCTCACAGCTGTGGAGTGGCTTCTAGGTGTGAAGTCTTGAGCACCAAGATGGATGTTGATCATTTAGAACCAAAGCATTTTTGCCCTGGTCAGTTTCATGATTCAGCCCCGCATCAATTTTGATAAAACAGCCCTAGTTCTCCAAATTGATACCTTCAGGAAGAACACATCCAAACAGAGGACAACTAAGAGGTTGTCTGATTTCTAGGTGCTAAACAGGACTCCAGCCATCAACACCAGCTAACTCTTCTGCTAGCCCAGCCCGCACAAGCACCCTTAGTGGTCAGGGCCATGTAAGAGTATCTAGACCCAGCAGCTCCGGAGGCTGAGGCAGGAAGATCTCAAGTTCAAAGCCAACCTCAGCAACAGAGAAGCACTAAGCAACTCAGTGAGACCCTGTCTCTAAATGAAGTACAAAATAGGGCTGGGGATGTGGCTCAGTGGTTGAGTATCCCAGAGTTCAATTCCTGGTAACCGCCCCCCCCACCCTCCCAACAAAAAGAGTATCTAAAAAGGACAGCTGTTTAGGAAGCAAGCCCAGCACAGTCTCAGGAAATAGATGCCTATTAATCAGGAATGAAATGAATTTCAGCAAAATCATTTCTAGACTGGGCTATGAGGCATGAGAGTGGGACACAAAAGTCAGTGCTTATGTTTGAAGACATGCTCTACAGCCACCTCCTCCACCTCAAAAAGCCCGTGGCTCTTGCCTTCAAGAATATCCTGTATTCCCCTATGGTTAAAGGAGAAAATGACAATAAAACCTAAACATCATGACACCATTTTGGGATTAAGCCCAGACTCCCTGGGAGAACCTCTTTTGCACAGAGGGCTGAACTTGCTTTCTGTAATGATTGTTGGTAAGTACAGAATGTGCTGGCTCATAGTAAATAGGTACTTTGGAGGAGATTGTTTCAGTGTTAGCCATTATTTCTCTCTGGTCAAGGTTCATTTGCTTTTCCTTTGGGAGCTTCATTCATATTTTTGATCTTATAAAATGACCCAGCTCTAGCAGATTGGCTTCAATCTATCATCATCTTCTATCTTCTCTGGCCACAGTGGTCAGTTCAGGGAGGGCCGTGTTGCCTAATTCAGTCCAATGAGAGAGAGACAGCAAAGGCCAGCAATTGTTGAGAAGATGAGAACTGATCAGATGATGGCGGCATCCTGGGTGTTGTAGGGCAAGGTTCTGAGGTTGAGAGCTGCTGCCGCCATTTTGTTACCAGGAGAGAAATGGACTTGACCATAAGAATGAGCAGAGAGCTGTAGAAAGCCAGAACTTAGTTTTGGATTTTTAGGATCAAACTGCCTGAAATCAGGGCTAAATCTAAATCAGTTATATAAACATTTTCATGTTTTATTTTTATTTTTTTAGTAGCTAACAACAACAATATATTATCTAACCCAGTTTTCTTTAAAAAAATTAAGTAATTGTACAAAAAGTTTTCTATCACTTGCAACATATAGGATCATGACAAATATAATATGTTCAGTAAAAAATTTAGAAGGATTTGCATGAAGACAGTTGCCTTTATGGAGAGGCACTGGGGGTCTAGGTTAAGAGAGAGACTTATTTATGTGTGTATATAAAATTAACCATTTTGAGGGTTTTTTGTTTGTTTGCTTTTTACTATGTGCAGGAATCATTTTCAGTTAAAAAGCAAGTAACTCATTTTTTAAAAAAATAAATTGGTTCTAAACAAATTTAGGACTATTGCATGCAGATCACCTCTAGGAACTAGCTAAAATTATAGGCTTTCCCTTAAAGCAACTATACAGTAAATCTGAAGGACTCAAGAACATGTATTTTTTTAAAGCTCTCCATCTGATTTTTATAGCCAGCCATATTAGGACTTTGTTCTGCCATTGAGTTCTCCAAGCCAGCTGCATATTAGAATCACTTAGGAGAGCTCCCAAAGGTACCAGTGCACCAATCATGCACCAGAAGGATGACAGATCCTAAAAAGACAACCAGGAAATGCAAAAAGATTTCCTAGGGAGAGTCTCTTAGAGAAGCTCTGCAGGCTAAAACTTGGGATAACACCAACTGTTGAAGAAGCTGTGTGAGAACAGCTGGGACTCTCACACACTACTGGTAGGAGCACACACTGACACAAGCCATTTTAGAAAATGTTTGATAGTATCTATTATAGCTAAGCATATGCCTTCCTATGACCCAGGAATTCTACTCCTTGGTATAGCCCTAAAAGACTTGGGTGTATATGATACCAAAAGGCATGTACAAAATTATTCATAGTAGCTTTATTCAAAATAGATGAAACTGGAAACAACCCAAATAAATGTCCAGCAATGGTAGAACAAACAGACTTGTACATGAATCATTGAAATCCTACATAACATATATAATATACATAGAATATATGAGTATAAACTACTGTACTTATATATACAACATTGACAAATCACAGAGACATTATACCTGGCAAAACAAACCTTATTTGAATGTATAAGAATGCATTTGTGTGATCTTTTTTATGTGAAGCTCAAGAGCAGGCAAAACTAGATTATGATGATAGAGGTTGGGAGAGGGGTCACTTCCAAGGAGGACTTCTGGGGTGTGGATAATGTTCTATATCTTGATCCACTGGTGGGGAACCAGGTAGATCCCATTGTAAAAACCTATAAAGCTGTACATTTCAGATTAGTATACTTCACTGAATGTAAATCTCAGCAAACAATTAAAGTAAGTCAGGCATAATGGCACACACCTGTGATTCCAGTTCCTCGGGAGGGTAAGGCAGGAGTATTATAAGTTTGAGACCAGCTTGAGTAATTTAGGGAGACATGTCCTACAATAAAATAAAGGGGGTTGGAGAAGTAGCTTAGTAGCTTGCCTGCATATGCAAGAAACTGGATTCAATCCTCAGTACTGAAAAAAAAAGTAAAATTTAAAAAAAAAGGAAAAAAACTACTCTTATATGCATCCATGTTTGAGAACCACTATTCTGCAGCCTCTGGCCTCAGAAGGGCATCTGACAAGTAAATCACTCTGCTTCGGTGATAGGATTTGTTTTGTCCCTCTTATCTCTCTGAAATCCTTCCTTCAGTTAACTCCTGTGGAAACTGGCCTTTCTGCATTATTAATCCCATTGGCCTGGGGAAGTGGGAAGGAGTAAATTACATGCTATAAATGTTAAATTACTTCTAAACTTCTATTTTTAATTTATAAGAATTTTTATGCAATGATGCCACTAGAATGGCTAGCAAAAATCCAAAATGCACCTGTATATTTTTCTTTCTTGCAATGTTTGCTAAGGTGCAATATGGATGATGAGTCATTCTTTCCATATTGTACAGTTAAGAGGCTTCTCAGTAGCCTGGTGTGGTGGCACATGCCTGTCATACCAGTGATTTGAGAGGCTAAAGCAGGAGAATGGTGAGTTTGTAACAGTCTCAGCAATTTAGCAAGACTCTAATTTAGTGAGTCTGTCACAAAATAAGAAGTAAAAAAGACTGGAGATGTAGCTCAGTAGTAAAGTGCCCGTGGTTCAATACCTATCACCCAAGGGGGAAAAAATTCTTAGTATCATATATGGAAATGCAATTCATTTAGAAATACCTATTTCTTATTACTCAGCAATAAAAGAGAATAAAATTATGGCATTTGTAGGTAAGTGGATGGAGTTAGAGAATAGCATGCTAAGTGAAGTAGGCCAATCCCCCAAAACCAAAGGCTGAATGTTTTCTCTGGTAAGTGGATGCTAACCCATGGGATGAGTGGACAAACTTTGAATGGGGCAAAGGGGAAGGCAGGGGCATGGGGGTAGGAGAGATGGTGGAATAAGATGGACATCATTACCCTAGGTACACATATGATTTCACAATTCGTGTGACCCTACTTTGGGTACAACCAGAGAAGTCAAAAATTGTGCTCCATTTGTGAAGAATGAATTGAAGAGCATTCTGCTGTCATGTATAACCCATTAGAACAAGTAAATATATTATAAAAATAATAAAATATAAAAACTATTCCTACTTTCAAATAGTTCATCACTCTAACAGCATAACAGGCCCAGCTCTGGCATTCTTAACAAAGGGCTATTCCTTAGTGGGAACCAGTGCTGGGCTGCCATTGCTTACTCAAGGTTTCCCCATCCTGCCCAGCACCAGATCTGAAATACAAATGAGTGTCCAGTCTCACCTTCAAATTGAAGATGTCTGTCCAGTTCCTGGAACGAACAGAAATCTCATTCAAGATAGAAATTATAAAATTCTTAATACTTCTACTATTTAAGGTTGGGACCATCTTTTCTAAGTAATGTGATCCCAGAAAAAATGTCCTTTTTGTTATTTGACTCTTACAAACTACTCTATGTAAAGCACCCTGGTCGGAATACAAAATAAGGCCCCGCTTTTACATTCATGGGTTGGTCAGGGGCACATGATATCTAGAAAGGGAAACAAAGAATGGAACAGACTATGTAAATGATTGAATAAAAAAATATGTGATTGGAACAAAGTGCCCCAAGGGTTCAGAGTGGTGGCTGAGATCACTTCAGAGTAGGAAGAAATAATTAGAAGAGCCCTTGCAGCCCCTGCCCATGACACATTTAGATAAAGAGCAGTTAGAGGGGAGGAATCATTGAAAAGCAAGTCAAACCCTACGGGAACCTCTGGAAGAATGTCCAAGAGAATACAAGAGATTGGCTGCAGCAAATCCTGAATTCCCATTCCATTTTGGTCTCTCACACACTCAGGGGGAGAGTGGAACAGGCTGTGACAACCCTATGCTATTTACTCCTGTGCTGTAGCAGAGGACTTTACTGTGTTCTACTGTAGCATTTGATATTGTTGTCCCTTTTCTCTCCAATCATCAAAACTACAACACTCTCATATTTGGCGTTTAGATGACAGTGGGGTTTCTAAGTATATTGTCTTCATTTACATTTTTCAACCACCCTACAAGCTGGATGTCATTCACATCCATTTTACAGAATGAAGAAACCAACAAGCGAAGGAGTCAAGTAGCTTGCCAGATTCACATAGCCAGTGCTTGGTGGAGTCAGCTCCTGAGCCTGACTCCCTGCCCAGGTGCCTGAACTCCTGTTGCCATGGAAACTGTTCTCAAGGTACAGAGCTCTGGACTATGATGCAAACCTCTAGACTGCTCTTGAAGAAAGGCTTCTGTGACAGCAGGAGCTTATGCTCACAATTGAGTCCCATTTAGCCTCTTGAGTCTTTCTTAATGCCGTCACGTTGTTTTAGGTTTTCGTTTCTACCTCTCATGTCTGTGTGCCTGCGATCTCTGCACCTCCATGATAAGCTATCAGGAACAGAGTCTAAGACTTCCAGGGACCACTGGAAATCTGATATTGTTGAAGTCCATTAACCACAGCACGGGCTCAGCAAGCATCGGCTTTCTCTTTTCCTGTACTCTCTTTTGCCTAGCACAGCTTCAAAAATATGACTTGCAGACAGTAGGCATACAAAAACTCATTTCAGAATTTAGGCATAAACTCTTAGATGAACTGAAGCAGGCTAATAGCACTCTTGCTCCAAAATAATATCTGACCTAATGATTTAGTATTATTACTCTCAGTCTCTGGGTGAGTTTAAACCATTTTTTTCCCTTCCTTGCTCTCAGAAAGAACAATTAACCTATTCATGAAATAAGATGGTTGAAAGTGAAAAGATAAGACTCACAAGGCTCAGAATATGATAAATGGTGTAGAGAGAGGCTGCAAAACCTAGTGGTCTACTCTCACTTAGCCATGGTCTGCACTCTGGGCTCTGGGTTTGGTCATATATAGCAGGAGCTGCTGGGTCTGCTGTCCAGACTCTGCTGCTGCAAATCGTTGCTGCTCAGGGCTGAATGCCAGGATTAGGACTTGCCAGGATTCACAATTCTATAAGCTTCAACTGTTGACTTCTGCTTTGGATCTAAAATGTGCCATTGCACAAAAAAAAAAAAAAAAGTTCTTAGGTATTGGGGATCCAAGATTGGAAAGGACAAAGAACTGAAGTACAGTTAAGTCAGATAAACAGAACTTTAGATGATGATCAGCTTCCCTTCTAAAGTATAGGATATAGGGTTCCAGCCTGCCAGAAACTGAGGTCTGTCTTAGGAGAAGCACTTTCAAAAATTCCCCAAAGCATGTAGACACCCTGCCCTGAAACATTTTATGATGGATGGAATCAAGACATTTTTCATGCAAGGTGACTCCTCTTGTCCTGGAACCTAATTCTCAGGCTTTTCCTGACAACTTTGTGGTATTCACCACCTAGAAATTAGATTCACTAAATACAAACGCTGAGTATTATTATGAGCCACTTAACAAAAGCTAGTCAGTGTTTCGGCACTTTTTTTATTAACTTATGTAATTCTAACAACAACTCTATAAAAATAGAATTGACATTTTTCCTTTAATTTATTATGAACAAATCGAGGCACTGAGAGGTTTAGGTAAGTTGCTTCAGCTCATAGAGAGGCAAATGGAGTCGGGATTCACATCCAGAAAAGTCTAGTCCTGCACTCCACACTTTAAACACAGTAAAATAACCAGACAGTGAGAAGCATTATACAGAAATGGGGACAATAAGAGAAGAAGGCATGGATAAGAAGTGAGATGGCTACAGCTTCTTTGACACATTTCCCTTCAAGAGATGGAGTCTATCCCTGGGCTGGCCCTGTGGCTTGCTTTGACCAAGAGAATGTGGCAGTAGTCAGATTGTATGTGTTACAAGCCTGAGTTTTAAGAGATTTAGTATCTTCTGCTTTTCCCTGTTTGGAAGCCCAAGTGCAAGAAAGACCGGGTTGTTCTTCAGAAAGGAGAGGCCAGTGGGAAGCCCTAGAAATGAGGCTCCTCCTGGAGGACACAACCTTGTGGAAGAGCACACCACACCGAGGCTCCAACGAGGCTCCCACGCTGACAGAACAAAGCCCCTAGGCATGTGAGTGAAGACCCAATGAACTTCCAGCCTAGGCCAGTGGCACCCAGATGGAGCCATGGGAGTAAGCTCAAGTGAGGACCACAGAAGAACCATCCAGACACCCAGAGAATGGTGAGAAATAATACATGATTCTTTGAAGGCACCAAGTTTTGAAGGGGGTTGTTATGCAGCAAAAATATCTGATACAGAGGGTAACTGAATTACTTGACTTGAAAATTCCTTGTTACCCTGAAATTTTATGGCTCAGTGAAGCAGGATGAGCACATTTGGTTGAAGTAGATCACCATGTAAGGAAAGATCAGGAGGTAAGATTAAGGCCAGTTAAGGGGGCCTCAGTGCCCCAGTAAGGAATCTGGACTCAACTGGTAGGTTCTGAAGATGTTGTCTGAGGAGGGGAAGCGGCATGAGAAGATAGCTCTTTAGGAAGACTAACATAGCAGCAGCCTATAGAATAGACATGTTGAACATATAGAGCAGATGTGAGACAAAGGGACAGGAAGGCCTGATTGCTGAGCCTAAAAGATGTAGTTGGAAATTACTGAGCAACAAGCCAGTGAATGCAGAATCAAGCTTCTAGTCTTTAAAGAACAGATGTTTTCTGCCTAACTACAGCCTCTATCAGCTTTTCATTTTTCCCAGCTATGAATGTTCATACTTTCAAAGATCCATGGGTGATGCACAGTGTGTGGTTAAGAGCCTGGTGTTTGAGATTAGAGAAACCTGGCTCTAAATATGTTCTCTTCTACCTTCTGACTGTGCACCTTGGGGCAAGTTACTGAGATGAGTTGTATCTTAGCTTCCTCCTCTGTAAAGTGGACATAATGATATTTGCCATACTACACAGGAACTGCAAAGACAAAAAGAGATGATACCTGGTATGTATTTTTGGCGAATGACCAAATACCCAAATAATATAAATATTGGGATGATCATTTTTCTTTCATGTAGTAGTCAGGGTCGGGGGTTTCAGGTTGATTCTTCACACCTGCATGAAAAAACACATGGTAAGAGCTGTGTTCCATGCATACCTTCCAGGGTTATTCCACTCCCCTCCATTCCAAAAGGAAGAGGGGGAAAAGAACAGGAAGGACCATGCCCAAGAATGATGGAGTGAGACCCCCAATGCACCAACCTGTTCACATTCCATTGGCAAGAAATTAGACACATGGGACGTAGCTTGCAAAGGGGCTTGGAAGTCCCCAGCTAAAATTCCACTCAATAAAAACAGAAGGGAAGAGAAGAGCTGGATATTAGTTGGCATTGCTGAACTACAAAATCTACCTGAATATATCTGCCAACATCTTACAAACCTGCAGTTAAATCAGCATACTGCAGTTATATCCTGTGCATTGGGATTTTCTAAATCTCTTCAACATACTCTAATGTGCAGCTAAGTTTACGAACCACTAGGTTAAGATTTATCTCTGGCATGGCTCTCTGCCTCATGGATTAAGGCTGCACATTTCAAACTTTTGAGCATACGAATCTTGTTAAAATTCAGACCCTGATTCAATAGACCTGGGATGGGCCTGAGAATCTGCATGTCTAACTACCAGATGAGGCTGGCCTACTGGCTCACAGGCCACACTTTTAGCAATGAGGGTTTAAGCAATTATATTCAGTTCTAGAACTCCAAGGTACTGCCGTGCAGTCAGTTCCATGACTGAACATTTTTGGTAAATCAAAGATACTATCATCTCATAAAAACAGGATGAATACTTCCCTACTTCAAACTTGCTAGAGAGCTGTTTCAAATTACCCTCTTGAGACTGCTCCTCCCCCCCCCCAACAAAAAAATATTCAATGGATATCCTCTCTTGGACTAATATTGACTTGACATTTTGTCCCAGGAAGTTAGAAAACTAGAGGAGAGAAGCCAGAGGGTGTCTTTTATTTTAAAACTGAAATTTCCTACTTTCACAAATGTATCTGCCTTTAAAGTAATAAGAATACACTGACAATAAATAACATTGAGAAGAAAATTAGGAATGCTTTCATAAAAAGGACACAAAATGAGTTTTAATTGCAGGGCACTCAAACTTACCTGTTCCAAACTGCTAAGGAATGGGTAAGTTTGAGCACCCTGCAATTAAAACTTTGGTACATCCAAATCCCAATAGAAACTGAAGACCTAAGCAATACCCATTTTCTTTTCTTTCTTTTAATGAGTTTGACTTTTTAAAAAAGTTATTTAATATGACAGCAGAATGCATTACAATTCTTATTACACATATAGAGGACCATTTTTCATATCTCTAGTTGTATACAAAGTATATTCACACCAATTCATGCCTTCATACATGTACTTTGGATAATAATGTCCATCACATTCTACAATCATTTCTAACCCCATGCACCCTTCCCTTCCCCTCCCACCCCTCTGCCCTATCTTGAGTTCGCTATTCCTCCCATGACCCACCTCCCTACCCAACTATGAATCAGCCTCCTTGTATCAGAGAAAACATTTGGCATTGGTTTTTTGGGATTGGCTCACTTCACTTAGCATTATCTTCTCTAACTTCATCCATTTACCTGCAAATGCCATGATTTTATTCTCTTTTATTGCTGAGTAATATTCCATTGTGTATATGTGCCACATCTTTTTTATCCATTCATCTATTGAAGGGCATCTAGGTTGGTTCCACAGTTTTGCTATTGTGAATTGTGGCTGTGTCCCTATAGTATGCTGTTTTAAGTCCTTTGGGTATAGACCAAGGAGAGGGATAGCTGGGTCAAACGGTGGTTCCATTCCCAATTTTCCAAGAAATCTCCATACTGCAATATCCATTTTCTTTTCTCTCATTCTTTCTTGAATTTCCCCCATCTAGGCTTTCCCCTATATTACTCTTCAGTACCTGTGTTTGGAGAAACCCAATGTTCAGTACTCAGTTCTCAGCTAACTCAAGCAAACCTTTAAAAACTTGTGTCCATACAATAACTTCCACTTGCTCTTTTTTCATTAACCATTTTAAAAGAAATATAATATGAACATACTTAAAAATTAATGTGTACCTATAGGCTTGGAAATAAGAAACCAGAGCCCATCATTCTACTCCTTACCTCTCCTGATGTCTATTTTCCTGTGGCAACTATTTTTGAATCTTTAGCTTTTCTTCCAATATTTAAGTAAATAATATTCTTGAA